TATGCTTCTTGGTTTGTTTTTGTTTGTTTGTGAGGGTGGGGTCATTTAGTCTCATCAATGGCATTGAAATTAAAGAAACTGAAAATAAAGGTGAAAGTTAAGATAAGCTATTGTCTCGAACAGACCAAATGTCTGTGACACAGACAAAAGTGGACACAGAGAGAAAGAGGGAAAGAGGGAAAGATAGAGTGAGAGAGAATGAGTGAATGAATTAGCACATGACAGGGCATAGGGCAGAACAAAGACAGACTGAGGACCAGCATCACCACACATGCCTCGCCTGGATTCCTCCTACATCTCTCTCACCACCACTCTCTTCTCTTCACCCCACAAAGAAAGTGACTGCAGATTTGGGGTAGCTACCCATTATTCAAAATTGCTTCCCCAGTGCAAATGCATTAGCTGCATGGATAGTGCATTTCCAACTTGCTTCATCCCCAGAACCTCAAGACAATCACTGGGGGAATTTGAAAAGGGGATCAAACCTCTGGACAGTGAAGACATTAAAGTTTTTTGGGAGAGGTAACTGTCCAAAGTCTTCTGATTATTGGAGAGAAGACCACAGATTAGAGGCTGACCTATAGAGCCCCACCACTTGACCCTTGGCTGACTCTTAACAGACTCTCTCATTGACCCCTGTTTGCCTCATGGATTTTCTGCCACCCTGCCCCACCTGGAGACACAGGTAGCATAGAGCACATTACCCTGCATACAGGGGTACCTGATTAGCACTCTGCAATCATACCCATCCCAAAGCTCTTCCGGTCCCTTTTTCGCATCTTCCAATGTACCATTCCTCCCCTATCATTTTCAATGGGGTCTCTTTTTTACATTAAAGAAAATTAACATAAGACCAAGACTGTTGGTAATGATTATGTCACACAAATATTTGCAAATTTTACATCCGATGACAGGAAAGAGTGATACTCGGCATACAGGAATATCCCGGCAATAGCTCAAGTCCTGCAGAAAGGAAAAAAATGGAAAATAATTCTGAGTTCTTTCCTTGCCAATCTCATATTTTGGTGCAACACGTTCGCAATGTAGACTCCTTAACTTCTCAGGACAGCAATAGGAGAAGATGAACTCCCAGAGGTTAATTAATTTGTCCCAGGGCCCACAGCAAGAAGGCATGTGGGGTTTGAGACCAGGTGCTCCAGTTCCAGCATTCTTATCTCTTCAAGTCTCCTTAGTCCAGCTGTGTATCTCTGGTTCTCCTTCGAATACAGATCACACCAGAAAAGCAACTGGGTCTTCCAGCTACATCAGATGCTAAGTCCTCAGTGTCTTGGACAAGGTGAGACCTATGGCTCTACCATGAAGTCCCCAAACTGCCCTCTCCTAGCTCTCAGGGTACCTGAGCACTAACAATGAGGGTTCACTTCCATCTGTGATTTGGGCTTTGCTCCCTGTCTAAGCAGTTCCTCTGAACCAGTTCCTGAAGGCAGCAGCAAAGGAGACTCAGAGGAAGGAGCAGGTGCAAGAGATTTAGCCAGAGCAATGCCACTCTGAGGCCAGCCCCACCTCCTTCTCATACCCCTACCCTGCCCTCCTCCACTACAGGGCCTTCCTGGAATTGCATGGAAGGGAAAGGAGGCTGGAGAATACAAAATTTAGCAGAGGATTAAGGAGACAAGCAGTTCTACTTGGACCCCAGAAAGGGCCTTCCCCAGCCCAGACCTTCCTCTCTGATTGTCCCCCTTGTAGTTCTAGTGCCGTATGACCCATTTTAATCCAATTGGCTTCTTTATACTCTGCCTCAGAAAAGTTGGTTTCAAACAGTCAGTGCTGCAGACAAAAGTAAGCAAGGCTTGGAGGCTGAGCCAAGGTGGATCCTCCGCTAGAAGTATGTGCTTAGAGCTGTCCCTGATTTCTCTGAGCCTTGCTCTCCTCACCTACATAGGAGACAGGGACATCCCATGAGATAACTAGGAAAGGAAGGAAGCAAACTAGAATTTATGTGTAAATTATAAAGCACAAGTAGGATATTGACGCAGACAGCATGCAGCACACAGTGGGCTTCATGGGCTAATTTAAGGTGACAATGTGCTTGGCAGAGTCATTCCTGAAGGATTGGAGGAGCCTGAAGACACTAATGCTGTATCCACTGCCTAGTGCCAGGTTGTTGCAGTGTATGTACTCTGGAAGCTGATTTATTTTCAGGATCAATGTCTGCTTTTGATAATATGTGATAAGAGACATTCCCATTAATCTGTTGATTGCTCTGCTCTCTCACACCCCATAGCTGTGCATTTGATATGGTGAGGCCAAGGTTAGCTTCCTGTGCTACAACTCTGCCTCTACTTCTTCAATTCCAAATCCACCCAGGATTCCTCATTCCCTACAGAACTAAATTCTGATCCTTCCCTCACGTCCAACTCTCCACAGCCTCAGCTCTCTTATTAAAATGGAAGAATGTCTCATTACTCTAACAATTCGAATGACCTAGACACACTTATAAATTCACTGCTCAGATTCATGTTCATATTGAAATGGGATTAAAAAGAGTCGTCTGTTCTTTCCAAGTAAATTTGACACATTCTGATTTGTGAGCTTTCTGTTACTAGTCGTTTCTAGGGAAGGTGCCCCTAACTAATATCTTCTCACTATGACTGTCCTTGAAAACCTAGCTGATTGTCACATCTCTGAGGAAACATCCAGGATCATTCAGAAAGCTTTCAATGATCTGCCTTTGTCCCCACAGAGTTGCAGACAAAGACCAAGGTGACATGGCTGGAAGGAGATATTCTGGATGCCCAGTGCCTGAGGGCAGCCTGCCAGGGCCTCTCAGCCGTCATTCACACAGCTGCCATTATTGATACCGAGAGTTTCATTCAGAGACAGACCGTCATAAATGTCAATCTGAAAGGTAGAGTGGCCTGGGATGACATGGGACGGGTGAAGCTGAGGGTAGCAAAGCAGGATCAGGAGGGGTAGAGAAGCCCCAGTCGTGGAAACCTGCGGTTCTCTGGGCCAGTTGTCTTTGCTCACCTATCCCAGCTGACAAAAAGCTCAGGGATGTTATTCTGAGGGTTTTAAGTGAGGAATCCAGGGCTGAGATAGAGCAAGGCCCCCCAGGTAACCTCACAGCTTTGTGGTCCATCTGCCATGAAGCTCTTTCTACTATTCCTTGATTCCAAACTTACCTGATTCTCACTCCAAATTCCTTTATTTTAAAATTTGCTCTTTTGAGATATGCATAACAGTAGAGTGTATTTTGACATATTACACATACATGGAATAAAATTTCCCATTCTTGTGGTCATACATGATGTGAAGATTTACTGGTCTTATGTTTATAGATGAAGCTAGGAAAGTTATATCATCTCGGCTGTCTTTCACATAGCCTCTATTATTGATATCTTTGATGCCAGACAGATCATCATGGATGTCAATGGGAAAGGTAGAGTGGCCTGGGAATGAGACGGAGCAGATAGAGCTGAGGGTGGCAAAGCAGAATGAGAAGGGTAGACAAGCTCCTGCCCCCCACCCGCCCCATGAAATACCTCCTGTGCTCTGACTCAGGTGTCTTTGCTCACCTATCCCAGAAGAAAGAGCCGAGAGCTGTATTCTCAGGGTTTTGTTTGAAGAATACAGAGCTGAGACAGGGCAAGGAACCTGGCCAAGGCCCAATAGGAAAATGGGAATTTAAACTCACACCTGTGTGAGTTCGTCTGCCACGAATCTCTTTCTGCTGCTCCTTTATTCCAAACTCACCTTGAGTCTCCAAATTCTTGAGATCCATCCACCCCCTGTCTGCCTGGGCAGAAAAGACTTTGCAGGTGCCTCCTCCTTCATGCTTCTAGCTCTTGTATCAGGGCTAATGAGAACATCCAGAGCCCTGATGCTCACCTCAGAGAAGTATTCTTCTCCAGAACACTAGCAAAGCAGGCCCGCAGAGGTTTGCTGAGACACCATGGTCCAGCACTCGCCAACCCACGATGCTTTTTTTCCAGCAATCATCATTATCCATTGTCCACAATACCATCTCTTCGTCTCCCTCTGAGTCTACTCTTGTGGAGCAGGCCCTACGGGGGTGACCAAAGGAACCCCTCCTTAGACTCTCATTACTAAACGCTAGGCGCCTCTTTATAATTTGCTGACTTCTTTTACTTCAAATTAGACACATTTGCCTAAGGAAGCTTGTTAGGCTGAGCCCCAGAGGCCAGTCACTCCCACACCAGTGCAACCCAAGCCCTGGCCCTTCTGTCCTCAATGCCTTGACCTCCACATTTAATTACTCAGAGACTCCTTTTCCAAATCCACCAAAAAGAGCCTGTTGCTTTTTCACATCATTACCTAAAACAAACAAACAAACAAACAAACAAAAAACCCTTCCTGGTTCCCATATTGCCATGTCCTTCACACAACCACACACACACACACACACACACACACACACTGCAGGATGAGCTAGGACTAACCAGAGTTTCATTACTACTTCCTGCCTCATGAAGCCTACCCTCTGCTTCATCCAGCAAACAGTGGCTTTGAAATGAAAGAGGCATTGTAGGAGGTACAAATTACAAATATGTTGTCAAGGCTTAGAAAATACTACACAGTTGTGCTCATTTTTTTCCCTGTTAGCAAACTAATCGTACATCTTCTAAAGAACATTTTATATTTTTTAGAAAACCAAGGCTTTCTCTTCAGAAAATCAGATTGCAAAAATATTCTAAATGACAAATAAATGAATTTTTATATAAATAATCCTCTGTCCGGGACATTCCTTCCTTCTTTAAGGCAAGGCAGATCTGCACTACTCCAGAACCTGAAGGTCTTCACTATTCCATGAGTTCCACAGAATTCTAATATTAGAGGTGCTTCAATAGAAGGCTCACCTTTCATTTCAATTTCAACCAGGCTCATCAGAAATGTTCACTGCAGGTCTCCAGAATGCTAAGTAAAGGGAATGATGATCACCTCTTCTGTTCACAACTAAGTAAACAGAGTCGTAGGGTTGGAGGGACCTTTGAGGGAACACACATTTAGTAACAGAGGCTGGGTCTCCAGCACCTCCCCAAATTTCAGTAACCATTTACTCAGTGACTTAAACAATATCCTTGTGACAAAGTTTTTATTGGTCTTCAACAAATGTAAAGCATGTCAGAACTGTAATGTCTATTAAGCTGTGCATTTTGCCCATAAACCACTGTGCATGAGTTTATGGAATGTAAAATTCCAACTGTCCTTGAAAGTATGGTCTTCTGAATTTCTAGAATTAAAAAGGACCTATTTTTAATGCAGTGAGATGCATGACAAATGTTTTTATTTATTTCTTTACTATTTTCTTGATGGTGATAGGAACCAAACCTGTGACCCAATACAGGCTAAAGAAGTACTCAACAACTGAGTTATATTCCCAGTGCTAATGGGATTTTGTTAATATTCAGTTTGACAAAATATAAACTGGAAACACTATGTACATTTTTTTTTTGCACTAGGGGATTGAACCCAAGGGAACTATAACACTGAGCTACATCCCCTTTTTATTTTTTTTATTTTGAAATAGGGTCTTGTTAAGTTGCTTAAGGACTCACTAACTTGCTGAGGTTGGCTTTGAACTTGTGATCCTCCTACCTAGCCTCTTGAGCCACTGGGATTACAGGTATATACCAGCACACCTGGCTTCTATGTTCAGTTCTAACATCAAACTATACACACACCATCACAAACACTCACATATTACAAAGTACAGACAGGTCTATGAGCCCACAGGCAAGAAATTCTTCATTATAGAATACAAATGTCAACCTCTTTTCTGCATTTTCCTGGGACTTTACCATGGCAGAAGTAAATCTATGACAAGGAATAATGTACTTGGATCAGGAGTAAACCCCTCTGTTGGGATAATAGATGGAAATATGGGAGACTCTGTGGCCATGGTCGCACTCTTGGGTTATTTCCTGACACTGACAACTTGCTCCCCATGGACAGGTACCCAGCTCCTGTTGGACACCTGTATCCAAGCTAGTGTGCCATTCTTCATCTACACCAGCTCAATAGTGGTAGCAGGACCCAACTCCTACAAGGAGATCGTCCAGAATGGCCATGAGGAAGAGCATCATGAAACGACATGGACGGCTTCATACCCCTACAGCAAGAAGCTGGCTGAGAAGGCTGTGCTTGCAGCTAACGGGAGCACTCTGAAAAATGGGGGCAACCTGTGGACTTGTTCCTTAAGGCCCCCATACATCTATGGGGAAGGAAGCCCTTTTCTTTCTGGAATTGTGAATAGGGCCCTCGGGAACAATGGAGTCCTGGAAAATAATGGAAAGTTCTCTGTAGCTAACCCTGTCTACGTGGGCAACGTGGCCTGGGCACATGTTCTGGCCTGCAGGGCTCTGACGGACCCCAAGAAGGCCGTGAGCATCCAAGGACAGTTCTACTACATCACAGATGACACACCTCACCAAAGCTATGATGATTTCCATTACAACTTGTCCAAAGAATGGGGCCTCCGCCCTGACTCCAGGCTGAGACTTCCTCTCTCTCTGAGGTACTGGCTTGCCTTCCTGTTGGAGACAGTGAGCTTCCTTCTGAGTCCCATTTACAAATATCAACCTCCCTTGAACCGCTATTTACTGACAGTATCAAATAGTGTGTTTACCTTCTCCTACAAGAAAGCTCAGCGAGATCTGGGTTATAAGCCCTTAACCACCTGGGAAGAAGCCAAAGAGAAAACTGTGGAGTGGATTGGCTTCCTGGTGGAAGAACACAAGGGAGCACTGAAGAAAAAGACTCCCTGATGGGCAGATGGCAGGGAAGGGGGCCCGGGTTTTGTCAGGAGCTATAGGTTGAGCTCCTCTACCTGGCTCCCTCCAGAAAGTGACCAATGAACCATCCCAGGTTCTTTGACACAATGGGTACAAGGGGAATGACACAACTTAGAAGTTTCCTTGAGCCACCAGGAGCCTCTTGGTTTTATTCCCCGTCTCCGGTGCTAAAGCATTTCTTTTCTTTGGACATCTCCCGTTCCTTCATAAAACTTAATGAAAACATCAAGCTGGGTGTAGGGGCACATGCCTACGACTCAGGAGTCTGAAGCGGGAAGTTCGCAAGTTCAAAACCCGCCTCAGCAACTTCGAGAGGCTCTAAGCAACTTAACAAAACTCTGTCTCAAAATATTTAAAAAATTAAAAATTAGAAAAAGGGCTGAGGTTTAATGGCTAATCTCAACTGGGTTCAATCACTGGTACCAACCAACCAATAAACAATAAAGGACCCAGAAACTATCATGGCAGAAAAGACCAGTAAATTTAAAATGCATACCAGGAGAAGGGTGTTTCTATGAAGACATTTTTCCACTGTCCCTTCCAAGTCCATGTATGGCCACCTTTCAGTCAAAACAAGAGGATGGAACTAGGTGGGGAGAGAAGGGATAGGATCTGAAGGGGACTTGAGATTGACTATAATGTATGAGGTTTGGGGCATGAACAGAATTCCTGCACCAGGCCCACAGATCAAACACAATGGTGTCTCTCCTGCTAATCTCCACACCCCAAGAAAAAGCTTCACAAAATAAATAGCTATGTTTTTAAACAGGCCAGGTGGAGCCAGCATGACCATGATGTGCACTGTTCTTTAACATTTACAAAAAAAAAATAATAACTTTGAAAAACCCTTTTGTTTATTTTGTCTGGTTTGGTTTTCTTTAGCCCCTTCATACCCTTGAAAGCCACCTTGTTTGGTAAGTTCATTGAACATCCAACGTTTGATGGATGTTGTCTGTATCTCAAACCACAATTAAAAGCTAATGAACATCTTTAAACTCAATCTGTTGAAGGTTTGCATTTTGATACCTGGGAATATACAAATCTCTAATTCTGTTGAGTTGGGCTATCACTAAGGGTACAGCTTAAGATTTTCTTCTGAGCAACAAAAAGAAAAAACACTGAGGAGCCACGTGCGTGCAACTCTTCAAGGGACAGAGAATCAGCAGTGAGCACAGGAATGGAGTGTCCCCAAGCAATAGGTAAAGAGAAAAATGTAGCCTCCCCTCTGGCAGCTCAGATGTCTGAAGAACAAAAGCCAGTGCAGCCCTGCTCTGCTGAGGTATGCACACCTTCCCCAGGTCTAAACCAGCGCCACAGGGAGCATCATAGGATGTCCATGAATAGTTGGCAAGAAACCTCTCTCTCCTTTTCAGCCCAGTGAAATCCATCACTCCACCTATCAGGGCAGTCTCACAGGGAGAGGATGAGGCCTCATCTCCAAAAGGAAGACAAGTAGCACGAGGGGATTGGACAGTGGACCTGACTGAAAGAGCCTAAGGCCTTGAACAACAAAGTCCACTATCTCCACATGCACTGGCACAGAATGCCAGGCAGTGGGAGCTTCTGCACACAGCTTCTGCACACCACATAAAATGCACCACAGAGGGGCAGCAGAGACAGGACAGAGAGTGGCAGCCTGCACCAGCCCTTCCCTTCCCTTCACTATATGGGCACTCTGCAGCCTCTGGCAAGGAAATAAGAGAACGGACAGTAGGTACTCAGCCACTGGCTAATGTTGTATGAATAACTGAACACAGAGACAGCAACTGAGTTGGCTAAAATATAGTGTTGGCTAAAATCTCAGAGTGCAGATGAGAATTAAAAGCCAAAGAGGTCCATGCTGGAAACCAGAATAACAAAAGGTGAAGTGGCCAGAAGGTGATAGCCTGAGCCAGAACTTTCACAAAATGAGAGCACCAATTTTTATCTCAATGTTTTGATCCCTAAATATCGCAAATTAACTCTAAACATTAAAAAAACAAATTTAAAGACCAGTTCCAGTAAAGGAATATGTATGTGGAATTCCAAGTTTAACCGTAAAATTATGTTTCTTAAAAATGAGGTGCTCAAGGTTAACAGTCTATTCTAGATCCCACTGTACATTTTATCTTCTTTTAGACTTTCTCCATGTTTGAAATAGGCTGTAATTTGTTAAAAAAATAAAATCACTCTCATTGGAATAGAATGTGCGAACTGAGAAAATGTTATGTGGCCTGAGCCAGGGCTATGGGTTACACTCTTCCATGTGTGTTCCCAGACTCTGGTCTAGTTGGTAGATACAATGTGAGACCAGGTGGTTGCTGCACACCCAGGAAACTGTGCAGAGTACATAGAGGATCCCTCCTGGGCAGCGGCTCAATAGGCCCAACCCTTTGGAAGGGTGTGGAGAGTGGGAGGATTCCACAGGCAGAAAGGTGAGGGCAGTGCTCCAGACAGAGACAGTGGAATCTTCAAAGGCCCATGCAGGAAAGGGGGTTCTGTTCCTGCACAAGGAGACATGCCTGGGCCACACAGAGAGCTCAGGTGCAGACCAGAGTGGAAGATACACCTGCACAGGCATGAGGGACACAGGTCTGAAACACCTCGGTCTCCTCAGGAGATACCCACTCCTCTTTCTTCCCCTCAGAGTACACCTTCTGTGCTCCTTCTAGAGAGCACTGGACATTCTATTACTTTCCATTTTTATGCCTCATCCCCTCTAACATTCCGACTCTGTGGTAAAAGAGGTCATCTCCAACAGTGACAAGAATGAGAGTCACAGAGCAGATCTGGGCACTCACCACCCGGTTTGCCATGGGAGGCAGTGAAGGTCTCTCTTTGTTTTCCCAGAAAAGATCACTGCAGCAGCACTCCTGAGGGATGGATTGCAAGAGATGAGGAGGATGCTTGAAGAATCCAGGCACAATGGCACATGACTATAATCCCAGTGATGAGGGAGGCTGAGGCCAGAGGATCCCAAGGTCAAGGCCAGTCTGGGAAACTTAGCGAGAACATGTCTCAGAGTAAAAAACAAAATGGGCTGGAAATGCAGCTCAGTGGTAATGTGCCCGGGGTTTCAATGCACAGTGCAGGAAAGAAAGAAAGAAAGGGAGGGAGGGAAGGAAAGAAAGAAATGGGAGAGAGGGAAAGGAAAGGAATGGAATTAAGTCCAGAGATGGTGGCCTCGTGTATGTCACATTAACAAAATATAATGTGGGGTGCAGGCCGAGGCAAGCCAGGGCAGAGTGGACAGACTGAGGTGGTCACATCGGTCCCATGCAACACTTTCTCAAACCATAAATCTGATGGCATCCCCTACTCCTCCTCCTTCCCCTCATTCAGTTCTCCCCATTCTGCCTCCAAAATAACATGTCATCTTCCTCCCTGGTCACCCAGCCTTGGTCCAGACCCCTGTCATTCTGTGTCTAACCCCCGACATGGCCTCCCTGCCTGAGAAGTCACCCACGGAAGCCATTCTGAGCATAGTTGCCAGAGATGTCTCTCCAAAATCACATCAAACTTGATCACTTTCTCCCTTAAATCCATTGAGTACCGCCCCAGGACAAGGACAGGTCTGACAGCCTGAAGATAACACCAAAGGCCTGAAGACTTACCCTTCTACCACCTCAGACTAAATTCTTGCCAATCCCTGCTCTGTCCCTACATTATCCAACTTGATGCTCCAATCACCTACCATGATTTGGATCTCCCTGATTACTTTGTACTTCTCTATATTCCCACTTGAGTACAAAGAATTCCTACTGCTTAGAGGGTACCCAGCTCTCTTGCTGACACATCCTTCTCAGTTCCTTATTCATCATCAAAAACCTTTCGTTTAAATGCCCCCCTTCTTGTGCATATCTAATTAAAATGCATGTATATATTTATTCATTCACCTCCCTCTGCACCTCCAAGTCCTGAAGACAAACTCACTCCTTCATCTGTGTGTTACCCACCCTGACCCAAGTGAGCTTGAAGGATCAATGTTGATGATGGACACACAAATAGTGAAACAGAGCACAAACAAACTCAACTGAATTGCGGACATATGGAAGGAAAGGGAGTAAAGGAAATCCAAGAAGCAGACTGTGTGGATGACAAAGGAAAAAGAGATACAAAGTTGCCTCCAAGGTGTCAATGAACCTGAAGAATTATGTCATCATTAGGAGAATAAGATTCAAGAGGAGAATCCTAGACTTGTGGCAGGGAAGGCAGGGAAGGGTATTCACTTAACTGTATGGGGAGGACTGAGTGAGCAAGTTAGTAAAAGGAATATGAGAGAGAAAATAGAGAAGTCTTCCGTGAAAGCAACACCACCTGCAAAGATTGTAATGGGAATGGAAATTAGACATGCTCCTGAAACAAAGTAAGGCCCTCAGCATTTTTATGCTATGAAAAATAAGAAAATTCTATTTTTAAATACTAGAACTTTATGACATTTTCCAATTTAAAGTCATATTAGGAGACTCGAGATAAGGACACCTTGTTCCCTCTGTAGCAAGTACTTTGCACATCAGAGGACTCTGGGGGGAATTTCTTACCTTTTTCTTGGCTCAACATCACACAGGAAGGTAATGAGCAGGGAATGGAGTTGGGTTCTGAAGCATGAAAGAGGTTCATCAGGAGGAGCAGAGGAAAAGAGAGAATTATCACATTGTACATTGCCACCCTGTCCTCAAGAACAGGGCCCACTGGGTCACTTGGAATTTCTGGGGCAGTCATAATATTTTCTACAATTCAGAAGCTCCCTAGGAATATACCGTGTAGTGCATCCTCAGAACACAAGGCCCAGCAACAGCAACATCAGCCCTTTTGCCAGAGTAGGTGCATTAGACATGGGCATGGACTAGACATGGGATGCTGGCCTGTGGTCATCCTGGAATGGACACTGGCCATGACTACAGAAGCATCCTTTTCAGGACCCCACAGCTCACTTTTTCCTGCACTGGCTGGAGTATGTCAAGTCACCGTGAATATTAGCAGGAGAGTATCACAGGCACGGAGAAGTACAGACACTGGGGGCTCCATATTAGGCTTAATTAATGGCCTGAATAGGATCCCCCATTAATACTTTGTTGGCAAAATATGGAGTCAGTCCTCAGTATGGTCAAGTTTTTCCTCTAGCCTAAAGATAATGCGCTTCTTGCTATCGCTGTTTACCTCCCAGAAACCAGGGACATAAAGTGACTTGCCAAGCCCTCAAAACCATCAGTAGTAGAGTAGGGCTATGCCTCCCCTCTGACATCTACTTGACCCTAGAATCTACCAAGCTCCGTCCAGCTTGTGATCTAATGTGCTCCTCCTCCAACACCTCACACCTGTACCTTCCCCTGCACAGACCCAGTCAAGACCTCATTCCCACCTGTGGCTATACAAGGCCAGCATCACTCTGCCTCTGAAGTCATGAACATGATGTCCACAGCACAGGTAGACTTCAACCTAGAGCACAGTAGAACTACCTCAGTAAACCACCCAGGACGCTTTCATCACTTTTACTTAGACGCTTGCTCAGGGTATATCTAGCAACACATGAATCTAGCCAGAGCTTTCCTAGTCCTGTGTCTATTAGTCTCTCCAAGGCACACACTGCCCAAGTAAAGTGGCTATTGCCCAATTTGCAGCACTTGTTACATGATGATCTACCATTACACAAGAACTCTGGAGAGATTCTATTTTATGCTGCTTTGCTGAATTACCATTTCCCTCATGCAGAGCATGTGAAGTCTTTGGACTTATGACATCCTCTTATCCTCACCATCATTGCCCCCTCCAGACACATCAATAGTCTCACAATTTTACAAAATAATTCAGCACCCACAAGCTGTTGTTGATGGTTGACAGGGAACAAAACCAGCTTTTACCTTGGATAATATGGCAGCTTCTGCATCTCTTTTCTACCTATTTGCCCCACATGGAGCACTATGCCTATTACCTCTCCTGGTGTCTTGTGTAATTATAGATCATCACGTCTAACAAGTGTTGTGAATCAGACAATGGGTACTTTGTCTGGCTTTGTTGGGCAGTGTGTGCCCTTGAAAAAGGTTAACAGGGGCAGGCCTGGTCACATTCATTTGTGGAACAAACTTCTCAGAAAATCTTCTGTGAATCATACACCGCCTTGCAGCATGGGGAACTTTGCTTATACACGACCTCTTCCTCAGGACATTGTGGGAACACCTGTGTAGATCCATTTAGCCCTTGTGGTTCAGAGAAGTCACCAATGTTGTCTTCTGTGAATCAAATTATAGCAGTGAGCTGCTTCCAATGACTCCATGGTTTCTAGTACTAGACCTATCCATCCTGCAACTTTGGGGGAAGCTTCTCCACATGTAAGAACAGAACACCAGCTTGAGCCCTTTATACACACATACCTTTCTCAACCTTCTTAAACATAGGCCAACTTGATACTGACAGGCCTTGCCAGGTCCTCGTGGGTATAGAACACAAAGAACTCCATACTGCTGTGTTGAGCAGGTTACTGGATGCACGCAGAGGAGCATGAAGAGTACCTTACCCTCCCTTTGAGCAGGTAGAACTGGAAAACCTTTGGAATGTGAGTTAACAGAGATGACCTTGAAAGTCCAGGCTGGCAGCAGGCAACTGAAATCTGGAAGCACCTGAGGTTCTGAGAGGAAAACAGGAGGCCAGCACTAGGCAGTTCATGCTAGAGACTGGCTGGACAAGTTCCTCCCCTTTGCCACTGGTGCTAAAGGGGACATGGTCATTGCAAAGGGCAGCTGAGAAAAGTGAGAAGTGCTATGGTCAGTGAAACGAGTTGGGGGATGAAGGCCAGAAAGGAGGGACAAGGGCGAAAGGTGAGAGGAGCATACAGACAGAGGCCAGTGGTGGCCTTCATGCCCCTTTCCTGCATTCTCTGGTGAACAGCAAAGATAGGCACTTGGTCGGGCCCTGACCAGTATCTTCCCACTTGGGGAAGGTGTATGGAAGGTGGTCTCCAGGAGCCCTTGATAGCAAAGCCTGGGAATCTTACAATGCCCTTTGCCTTTATTCCCCAGGGCACAGGACAGACTTGAGGCTCATAGCTCCTGCTTCCTGACTTCTGCAGGAAGAAAGGAGGTCCTTAGCTGGTCCTACTGGGTTCTCAACCCTGTTTACTATTAAAATTTCCTGGGCTGCTTTCATAAAATTAGACACTTAGGCTTCATTGCAATTAATCAATAGCTAGATTTAAAAAGTAAATGTACAAAAATCTCTCCAAGGTTGAGAACGTCTCTAATGAACTAATCAAACCCAAGAATTCCCAGAGGACCAGATATGGTTCCTCTCACTGGTGTGTTGTAGAATCCTGCTCTACCTGCCCATTCAAGTGGGGGAAACTCTTAAGGTATAGACCCAAGGACCAGATCCTCTGTTGAGCTTACCACGTCTGGAGTTTAGTGTTTTCAAGAGACTCCTGTGGAAGCAAGAGCTGGTCTCATTGATGCTTTCAAAAGACAGGCATTGCAAGGAATGTGATAGCCACAGCTTCTGGGACTGCTTCCTAAGGACATGCCTGCCCAGGGCCTGGCTGGGAAGGGAAAGGGCTAGTGTACAAACAAGGAGATAACCGTGATCATTAAAAGCAGTGTGGATTCAAGCTTCCTCCTACCTCTGTCTTTGTGATTCCATCCTTAGGAACTGCTAACGTGATGTCTATTTGGCTGAGTAGAGAACTGGCTATTCAGATTTCAGATCTTAGCTAATTTGTGAATGATTTAGGATCCATATGAACTTTCTACTATAAGAGTCAGAAAACTGTTTTTTTTTAAAGAGAGAGTGAGAGAGGAGAGAGAGAGAGAGAGAGAGAGAGAGAGAGAGAGAGAGAGAGAGAGAGAGAG